AAAAAAAAAAAAAGGTTAAGTTAAGGGTAAAGTTAAGGTCCCGAGGTTTCGAGGACTCGACTCGACTAGCCTCGTGCTCGATCGATTCGCAGGCTGAGAAGTCTAGGAGGATGTTGTACCTAAGGGGCAGGGAGGTGGTGGCGCAGAGGGAAAGGGCGGCCGACATGAAACGAAGGAACGGCGCCCTCATATACAACATCCTCCCGCCCCACGTGGCAGCGTATTTCCTCTCGAGGGCGAGGCACCACGACGACCTCTACAGCCAGAGTTACGCCGAGGTGGGCGTCCTGTTCGCCAGCATGCCCAACTTTGCCGATTTCTACAGCGAGGAGAGCATCAACAACCAAGGCCTCGAGTGTCTCAGATTCCTGAACGAAGTCATATCCGATTTCGACGCGGTGAGCAACGAAATTTTTCGAAGAGAAAATTTATTATTATTATTATTATTATTTTTCCATTTTTCAGATCCTCGATCAGAACAAGTTCAAGGACATCATCAAGATAAAGACGATAGGCTCCACTTACATGGCCGCGTCCGGGATAACCGAGTCGTCGGAATCCGAGGACGCGCCTCGATGGGGCCACTTGTCGACCCTGGTCGAATTCGCCCTCGAGTTGAAGAAAGCGTTGTCGAGCATCAACGAGCAGAGTTTCAACCACTTCGTGCTTAAGATGGGTATCAATCACGGCCCGGTCACAGCCGGGGTGATCGGGGCCAGGAAGCCGCACTACGATATATGGGGGAACACCGTGAACGTTGCGTCCAGGATGGAGAGCACTGGGAAAGTGGGCTGCATCCAGGTAATATTCGAATATTCAAATACCTTTTCCATTCTTTTTCTTTATCGAAAATAATCATGGAGATCGTGCATACAGGTGACGGACGAGACGCGGAAGATCCTCGAGCCTTTCGGCTTCGGCTTCGAGCAACGAGGCCTTGTGTTCGTGAAGGGGAAGGGCCAGCTGCTCACCCACTACCTGGTGTCCAAGGACGGCGTGTCCTTGAACCTGGACAGCGACCTGCCTGTCGAACCCGCCCATCCGATCATCTATCAGTAGGCTACGACATCTATCGAAGGCTCTAAAAAAAAAGAAAAAGAAAAGAAAAGAAAAGGAACAAGTTCGAAGCCTTCCTCGTTCACGTGGAGGGGGACCTCTCTCGTCGAGCAAGGATTTTTCTCTCTCTCGATATAAGAATCCTCGAGCTGGGAAAACGTTCGAAGAGGATCACGCAGATCTGTCTTTCGACGGTGAGCGATCACATTTTTTTGAAGATGGAGAATCTTTAGAGGAGGAGGAGGAAGGAGAAGAGGAGAAACTCAGGCTGATTGGGAGATTCTTTTGAAAGATTCCTTGAGAAGAAGGAATTCATTTTCGTTCGATCGAAGGAATTATTTTTATCATAGCATATATCAACCTCCAAAAAGAAAAAAAGAAAGTCAGCCACCGAAGAAAAATTCTTACCGCTGTCGCAAACCGTGAGGTCTACTATTGATTATCGAAGAACAGGGTACAAAATCGAAGAAACAATTAGGATTATTAGAAACGACACTCGAGAGGAAACTGCTTCGCTGTATAAAAAGTGTGAAACGTTTTATCATCTTGGATCTGGTGATTCAGTTAACTAGAAGAAAAGATCCTATTCTAGGTAGAATCTATCGATCGAAAGAAAAGAAAAATAATAGCATCGTAGTAGGCTGGCTTCGAAGCTCGAGTCGAAATTGAACCGATAAAAAGAAAGGAATCGAAGAATCCAGTCGAATCTTGCATATCTAGGATTAATTTAATTAGCTGAAACTAATTTTGAAAATGAGAAACGGTGTCTAGTCGATCGATCCAAGTAGATACGTAACTTAAGAAAGTGTGTATAGCTCGTATAAATCGTTGTGGTAGGTGATCTCTACGCGATCGTCCACTCTATTTTTCTAGATCCCGCGACGAGGGTTGAAGCGTGGTCAATTAGGGGTAGGTGTTTTTCCTAAAGTGGCTCGCACAGAGTATCGAGATATTCCTTCAAGCTAGCGCGTTCTTGGAACTAATTATTGCCGTTGCGCCGACCGTGCGCTTTCTTACGATCTCAATCGTCTCTCTAATCGTCGTGACACCATGTTCAAGCGAGATTAACACGCTTCTGCTGAAAAATTTTGCGACACAAATTTT